TCCCTGATCAGGTTGTACTCGAAGTACAGGTAATGCAAACTCTGCAGGCCGCGGAACATGCCCGGGGTGAGCCGCTCGATGTCGTTCCCATTCAGGTACAGGCTCTTGAGGTTCGGCAGGGTGATGAACGCCCCGTCCTGCACGTAGGAGATGCGGTTGTTCCCCAGGTGTAAGAGATCCAAAGGAAAAATTCCAGAAATCGGAGCGGTAGATTTTCTGGATCAAATTCCCGCTCAGGTACAGCTTCTTGGCATTCAAGGGCCTGGGCAGGAGCTCGGAGATGTTGTGGAACCCTCGCTCCTTGCAGTTGACCGTCAGGCCCAGGTCGTTGATGTGCAAACTGCAAGAGCAGCCGGTGGGGCAGATGATGGGGATGGGGGGCCGGGTCTGGTAGGCAGCCACGGGCGGTTGGTTGGGCCCGGGGTACAGGCCACGGGGTGTTGGGGGAGGCCGGGGTGCCCTGGGCTGCTTGGTGGGTTTGGGCTGCTTGTTGGACGTTTTGTACTCAACAGAGGAAGCGGTGAAATGGAAGGAGGACAGCATGGAGGAAGGCTTGGTAGGCCACACGTTCTCCTTGCTGGACGACAGCTGAGGGATGCCCAGGCTGGCTTCCACCTCGGAGTCAGACAGCATGGGACACAGCTTACTTCTTTTGATTTCCCGCAGGTCCTTCCCGTGGAAGTGGAAGGGCGTCTCACAGGTGATGTCCCCCACCAGGGCAGTGTAGGGGATGCGCTCCAGCCAGCTCTTCAGCTGCACGATCTCACACGTACAGTTCCACGGGTTCTCCTCCAGCTGGATCTCCATCAGGCTCCTGCCAATATGGTCCAACATCCCGCGGTACGACAGGACTTTTAGCCGGTTCCCGCGCAAGTCCAAGTGGGTTAAGGACACAGACTTAAATAAGTTGGTGGGAAGCATGGGGATAAGATTGTCATTCAGGATAAGGACCCTCAATTTACTTAGGTTTCGAAATGCCCCGCTTTCAATCCGTTTAATGACATTATAATCTGCCTGCAGATATTCCAGACTTTCCAAACCCAGGAAAGTGTCGTTCCTGAAAATGTCCAATTTGTTTTCGTGCAAATACAACCTCTTCAGAACTCGGAGCCCGTTAAAAGCCCCTGTCTGAATGTCCTGCAGTGCATTGTTCCCAAGGTTAATAGACACAGCATTGTTCAAGTGAAGAAAACTGTTGGTGTACAATTTCCTCATGGAATTCCTCTGCAGATAAAGTTTAAAAGGTCTCGACCACGACTCTGTTATCTGACTAATATTTATAAATCCTTTGTTGTCGCAATGTATATGGAAAAGGCTCTCCTTCACTTCACAGTAACATGGATCAAAGCAGGGTTCATCCAGTTCCTCCGAGTCCTCTATCAAGGGAATAGGTGTAGTCCATGCTAGAGCAATTGTGCTTAGAAGAATTATCCACAACATCCTTCCTTTATGAAGTGTCTCTGCCGTGGAAGGTCTCATCATTTGTTGATGTTTACAAAACTGCAACGGGAAGAAAAATGCAGATTTCAGTATTTCTGCCCTGCCCCTCTCCTCTTCCTAAGCCCCTACCTGCTAGACTCGTGTTAGGCTCCTGGAAAGTTCACCAATTGTTGGGCAGACGTTCACAACCAACTCTAGGGGTGTCAGATGGGTGAGCCTTGCCCTGATTTATACTTAAGAGATGTTAGACGGTTTTATCACGCGATATCAGCCTCCCTTCTCCCCCCACTGTGGTAAATGCCACCTATAAAGAGGACAGCACATGCAGCCCCACACAGCAACACAAGTACACAGGATGAACGTGTTGCATCCCTACATGTTTTCCACCGTAAGACAACGTTTGAAACTACGCATATCTCATACTCGTGTGGGATTTTAGCTCGGTAGCCATCATAACCCGCACTGACTACAGGGGGGGAAAGACCATTGGGCACATTTCTCCAGTGTCGCACTACATCCTTCATACATGCAAACTCCCAAAGTTATTGAACCTCAATTCTCCAATCTCTCTCCCTCCCAGCTCCATATATTCCATTGGCAAGTTCAAAGGAATGTGCAAGGTTTTTTGCTGCTGTCCCTAGCAAAACGGTTCCCCCTCAGAAATCCCCACAGTATCTTTAACAGAGTAAATGGTTAACAGCCTTGATTTAAAGGGAAATCTTCCCCTTGAAATGCGCCGATGAATTAATGCAACTGGTATATTATCAGAAAAATACATACCACATATTAGTCATTTTAGCTGATTAAAGCGTTTAGAGATGATTAATCTTTCTAAAGCACATGCCCATGCGATCAGCAGATCTAAAGGGAAGTGACAGCTAAAGAGGCACCTAGGACTGAAACGCTCAGCCTGCCTTGGATTAGGGTATTTTGTGCCCCCAGGACTAAGCAGGAGACCCGGTTAAAAGCTGAAAGTGGAAGAAAAAGAAATACCTTGACACTTACCAGCCGATAAATTATCTATCCTACTATATATGTTTCCGAATGAAGACACCATTCTTCTCCAATCAGATGAAAATAATACTGCACTAATGAGATGCAGCTCCTTCAACATATGGTTTCCCCCTTCCTTTCACCAGATATTTTAAATGTATGGGCACAGAGAAACGCTAAGGATGGTAATAATAACGGCGGTGATGCAGCCTCCCTTGAATCCCTGAAATGCCCATTAGAATTATTCGGAGTGATCGTTGCTTTTAGTCTTAATCTCTCAACAGAAAAGGTCCTTTTTGCCTTCCTCGTGTAAGAACTAGAAAAATTTGCCCCCCATCCACAAACTTAAGAGCAGAACGATGCATTTAGGGGAGAGAAATGCCAGAGGAACAGAAATCCTTAGGATCAACTTGCAAATGAAACCCTCCCCTGTGGGAAAGAGGAGATGGTTGAAAGCACGAAAAGAGAAATACCCTCTGCAATTAAAACAGCATCTAATTGGGGAGCAGGGAGAGAGATGAGAGCTATATTGCAGTATCAGCCTCTCTGTCTCCTTTGCAAAATATAAGCCACTTAAGTTCTTTCTTTTCTGCAAGGGCTGTAATAAAAATAAAAAAATAAATAAAGAGGATTATTATATCTTCTTTTTGGAAGAGGGGGGTGTCTTTGACCCTAGGCGGAAACAAAAGGATCCAGAAAGGTTGTACTTACCGGTTTGCAGGAGAGATTTTAGCACATCGTTACAATAAAAAGAAAAAAGGAAAAGAGGGGAAAGGGAGGAAAAAAAAAAGCCCGAGTTTAAAGATTGCTGGTTTCTCTCTGCCTCTCCCTCTCTGTGGCTCTCTCTCCCTCTCTCT